ATCTATATCTATATCTATATCTATATCTATATCTATATCTATATCTATATCTATATCTATCTATGTTTTATTTGTGCTGATAAATAAATAAAGGGAGACTAGTATAGATCTATTTCAAGCTATTTAGCTCTCATCAGCTAGCCATACCCTTACTGGGATTCGAACCTGTGCTGTATTGCATCTTAGGCAAACGTCTTAGCTATTAACTCTTGTGACGAGCCGATTGACAGATGATGGAAGCAGTTAGCTTCCTCCCATAATTGGGGCTTACCAGGGGTTGTGACACTATATATATATATTATTTTGGGAGAGGGGATGCTTTTGAAATCTGTCCTCTTTTGACTGTAGGTGTGTGGAGAGGTACTTAGTCTTGATCAGCCCTGATACCAGATCTTACAATAGCTTTGTACATAGATCTTTAGTTCTGATTATGAATTAGCTAAACATCTTTCATTTTTACTTCAAAAGGAGGAACACATATCTCCATATACAGAATTCTGATCTTAGTGATTGGGAAGTGTTTAAACTGTTACTTCGTTGTTTTATTTTGCTTTTCATCAGAGAGAGATACTTTATAGAACAACTTCTGAGACAACTAACTGAATTGCTTGGTTCTGCCTGGGAAAAACAAAACATGGTTCTTTTTTCTTTCATATTTTTATTTAAACATTTTATACTCTGCCAGGGTCACGCGGTTGGAGTTGGGAACCTACACAAACATTCGAAATGCACAAATAACATTCGGATTTTAACAGAGCTTTTCAGGAGTATGCTCTTTCTGTGGATTGGGAAATCCCTTCCCCCCCCAAAAAATATATCCTAAAATATGCATATATTTGCAACGGTTTTCACTTCATGCTATGTATTTGGCCAAATGTGCACCAGTTTGTGCATTTATCAACATTTGTTACCTGCAATAAAAATTGGTAATTTTTGCAAGACTGCAGGCTCCTCACTACATCTTGATTTATTTGGGGAGGGGGGGGGGTAAGGATTGAATAAAACCTGCATTGAAACAAGAACATGCTCTTATCTCCCCTGTAGCTGCAAAAGGCTCAATGGAATTTATTCCCTCTCTCACAATTTCTTCTCCGTTCTTTGAACTCTAGGTCAGCCCTTGTTGCCCCTTAGACTTCTGGCCTTCCCTCTTCTTCTTCTCAAAGTTCTGCCCTGCATGCTATTTTCTGCCCTGAGTAGCAGAGATTGCAATCTGGACTCAGGTCCTTTTGGGCTTTTCCACACTGAGCAAGAAAGTTAAAAAAAGAAAGAAAAAGGTAATGAACAGTGGAAACCAAACCCCTCAGTCTCTTACCTGTTTGCCCCTTCTCTATTCAAGGATTTCATGATTTTGCAGAGCGTTTTCACTCTTGATGCCGAGTTGAGTTGAGGGGATAAAACCAGAGGGTTCTCCATTTTGCCCGTAAGGACTCTGCCGGATTAGATCTCCCTCCGATCTTCCTTCGGTTGTTGAACGTTAATAAATCCTCAAGGACCGGATTGCTCCTTGCGATGTTGCGCTTACTTTGAAACTTGATTATTTGGCCTGGGTTATTCAGTTGGTAGGACGTCCTCCTGCACTGCAGTCCCAGCTGCTGTGAAAGTCAGCACACGTGGCCTTTTAGAGAAGTTCTTTTTTTTTCCCCCACCCAGAAGTCATTTCTTCAAAAGAGAGAGATTAGAAAAAAGGCTTATGTTGTTTTGCAAGTTGGAAAGATAAACATAGGCCTTCCCCCAACTTGTGGTTGTAGCTTGTGGTTAGCAGATATGAATGCGATATTTGGTCAAACAAGATGGCCTTTAGCACACTACACTGAGAACTAAACAAAACCAGCCCCACAGAGCGGCAAGGGGGAAAATTGATATGGTTTCCACTTATTACAGTTTTTTTTTTTTTAAACGGGACTTAAAATAGCTTAAAGGGCTGCAAGTAGCTGTCCAGTTGAGCACTGATGAAGACAGTGATGCTAACTTTGGCTGTGCTGTTTTGAGTGCTTTTTAAAACTATTTTATTTATTTCGGGACATCCAGACCTACTCCTAAGAGGGCAAGATTCTGAGAATGGACTAATGTTGTCTTCATCATATGCAGTGGCAGGTGTCACATTTTTTTTACCGCTGGTTCTGTGGGCGTGGCTTATTCTACGGCCGTGGCTTGGCAGTCATGTGACCGGGTGGGAGTGGTTTGGTGGTCATGTGACTGGGTGGGCACGGCCAATTTAGCCATCCATTTTGCCTAATTGCCATTTTGTCCATTAAGCAATACACAGCATCCCCCTTTTTCTATTCTTTTTAATACTGAATGAAGTATTAACCTCTACTCCATGCACATGGGTGAAGATGGTAAAGTTTTCTTTCTTTCTTTCTTTCTTTCTTTCTTTCTTTCTTTCTTTCTTTCTTTCTTTCTTTCTTTCTTTCTTNCGAGTGTTAACTCAAAAGTTGCTTGTAGTGTATGCTGATTAATTCACTTCCAGTGCTACTTTTTAAAGTCAGGTCTCACCAAGTTGCTCAAAACTCTGTCTGAGGCCCAGCAAGGTAGCCTGTAGGCAAGGCATATTGAACTATGGGCCAGCAAAAGATGACTAGACATGGCAATGTATAACACTATAAAGATATTAAATAAGCACTAAGGGTATATTTAGAAACTATAGTTTAATATACAGTTACTGAGAATAATTGAAAGCTGCTGTATCTCTTTGCTAGGAAGACCTGAAATGTTCAAGTGGAAAGGAAGATGATTGGTCTGTTGACTGATGATGTCATAATCAACAGCCATTTTCATTGAGTGGATTTTTCCCTTAATTGAACTTTAGAATCGTTTGACTTTTTGTTTCCTTTTCAATGGTATACTCAACTTTGGATTAAAACCATCAAATAATTTTTGTTTGTAATACTGACATCCTAAATCACAATTGATACTGACGGAATACCCAGAAGTTCCTATCCAAGTTAATAGTCACAAGTTCCATTACATAATTGTTCATTGTGCATTCGCTGGCTGGGGAATTCTGGGAGTTGAAGTCCGGACATCTTCAAGTTGCCAAGGTTGAGAAACACTGCATTACATAACATATTTAACATTAGTCTTTAAGGATTAATAAAATATCCACTTCTTCCTTGAATAATTTTCTCCACTACTGAAGCTTCAATACTTCTAAGCTTTTATGGTAGCGATCAAAATTCAAGGCCATTTTATACAGCAGCCTGGCAGTCAAACTTAATAGACTTCTTCACTTTACACATGGCTAATCCTTCATCGCAGAAGAATAATGAAAATATATTTTGCATGAAACAGCCTTGCTTCTAAGATGTTGGAACTGTAATGGAACATAATGCTAGTTGAAAACATCAACACCAACCTTTGTGAGAAATCAGCTGGTCAAAAGATTCAGCCCATTTTTTCACAGATTCAGGGGACTCACTGCACAAGACAAAAACAGAGGCGTCACCTGTTGGGTAGATACTTGCAGATTTTCTTAATATATTTTTATCTCTGGTTGATTTCAGTCTGTCGTGTTTCTCATGGTATTGAGTAAGGATTTCTTAGAGGGGGGAAAAAAGCTTCAAAAATCTCCTGGTCTGATTTCGCTGATGTTTTTCCTATTAAATTATGAAAATAATCAATGTATTGAAAGGAAGTGCTGCCTTCTGAGTCATTTTATTGTACACCCTTAATTTTTTTTAAATAGGTAAATGCATGTTTGACACCTTTGTTCTTTTAAAATAAACAAATAACCGAAAGAGGCTGTTTTGTTTGTGGTGCGTCAATGAGCTTTGAAACGGTTCTGTACATAGAAGCTTGGGAAGGAAAGAGAATTGTTCACACTGAGATGTGGTTTAGAAGACTGCCGAAGACACTGCGACCACAGGGGCTATTTTTAACATTACACAGGAAGCTTTATGGTATTCAGAAAGAAGGATACCATAGCAGTGGTGCCGGGGCATAAGCCCACCATTTCTTTGCAGCAACTTAATGACTTTTTCACCAAATGCCGTGCTATTTTGGAAGGACTTATATTTAATTTAGGAGACAAGAAAGAAGGTTTCTTTTCTTTTCTTTTTAAGCCAACTATGTCAAATTGTCCATACTGGTCTTTGACCTTGTAGCTCACCGAAAGGTACACTGAACCCTCTCAACCATTCTTCTGCTAAAAAGTTTGGGAAGTGACCTTTTCAAGCACGTTCTGGGCTTCTTTCACAAGCAGTTGAGAAAGTTTGATTTTAGATAGATCATAATATGCAGTGCAGCCCTGGAGAAGTGTGCAAAATAAATTAATTTAGAGGGAAATTCATTTGCAGGGGGAAACAAATAATGAGGAAATAAAGACAATAGCAGACAGGCTTGGTAACCTAGCTGAGACGGAACAAATTACCATTTGCAAAGTCAGTGGTTAGCTGGATTTGCTTCACTACTGCATAACTTGTTTAACAACTGCACGGATTCACTTAACAACCGTAGCAAAAAAAAAAAAAACCCTCATAAAATCAGGTAAGATTCCTTTAACAATTGCTTTACTTAGCCATGAAAATTCTCATCCCAATTATGGTTGAAAGTGGAGGACTATGTCTTTTCAAACAGAAATCAGAAGTCAATTCACAAATATTTATCCATTTTATAGATGGGGACACTTAAGTGGAAACTAGTCTTCAGAATGTCAGTGAACCTATAGCTGAAAACACACACACACACACACACAAAGAAGACTTCATAATGATATATACACTGAGAAAAAGAGTATGTGACAATTGAAAAACGTTAATATATTAAGGCGATGTTTCTTTCAACTACCAGAACTCTCCAGCTGGTATACTGAGTAGAAAATGCTATGAGTTGAAGTATTAAGGAAATTGATATTAAAATTGATATTGAAAATGTCTAACACTTAACCATTTTTACAAAGTGCACATAAAGAAAGAAACAGCACGCAAGATGTCACAAAACCATACCAAGTAACAGAGCAAAAAGGATTGTGGGAAGATGTGGTCCCTGCAAAAAATAATTCTTAAAAAAACAAAAAGCCTTTTTAAGAAAGGCTATTAAGAATTTCAAAAATTCTGTGAGATCTCATAAACAGCATCATAGATGCATGAATCTGTGTTTGAGGGGCCATCACTGAGCTGCACAATGGTGCAAAGGAACTGAGAAATGTTCCTTTATCTTTATCAAAACGTGGTGATGAACCATCATATGCTGACACCTCCCCTCCACTTCCCCTCAAATGTTTCATTTCTTTAAGGTTTTTTTTTGGCTTGCAAGTTCCTTTAGCATTTGGGGGTGGGGTTTTTGAATATCTTTCACTGTAGTAAATGAAGTTGGGAGTTGAAAGTTTAATGTTAAAGTTTAAAGTTTAATGAATTTATATGCCCCCCAATCCCGAAGGACTCCGGGCAGCTTACATAAAAACAACACTAAAAGAATACAAAAAAATTTAAAATAGAGAGAAAAAGCAGGTTGAAAGACACATCATGCACTCAGTCTTAATGGGGGCTGGACCTCATTCATGAGGTCAACAGCCCCAGGCCTGCCGGAATAGCCAGGTCTTAGTAGACTTTCGGAAGGCCAATACATCTTAAAATGACTAAGGTTGAGAAAACGCTGATTGGCAATGATGCCAAAATCAAAACAACCTGTAAGATAGGCATGCAATAGATGTTCTGAAAGTACGACTGCTTCTTTAGGGCACTCTTCTTAATTATATATTTCGCTAATTTCCAAAACAAGTCTCACCTTGATGCTTTTGTTAGTTGTTCAAATTTGTCAAAATTCATATTTGGGTGCAATTCAGATTTATGCAAGAGACTTAGCCGGTTCCTTTTTTCGAGAGATCTACAAGAAAAATGAAAGTTACTGCAGTAAGATTTTTCAAACATTTCTCTCTTGCCAGCTCAGAGTGCTCTGCAAAGCTCATGGCTTCCCTTTCACAAATGATTCCATAAACGCTGATGCTATTTTCCCATTTGCAGGAGAGAAGAATAGATTTCTCACTTACACCTCTGAATATTTTTACATACCGAATCATCTGCAAAGGGTAAATGAACATCTTTTCATCTTGCTAGTCTATCGCATTGACTTTTATGACAAGACCAGTAGGGACTTGATGGGGGGGGGGGGGGGGAAGGAATAGGCTTAATCTTAGTGAAGCCAGACTGAGATCAGGAGCTTCTGATACAAAAGAGGAAATTCAGTAGCTGAAATGGTTAAAACGAAACACATTTCATGATGCATTCAAATTTCATTGAATGCATTAGCTAGTGTATCGCTGCCACAGAAAGTGCTGCTTTCTTTGATAATATCGAACGATGCGAAGGGGCTGATGATATGGTATAATAATGGCTCTCCTTTCCTCTGTTCTGATTCCTTGCTTGCTCTATCATAGGATTTGTACAAGTAGATGCTATCACCTCAAGAGACAAGAACAAAATGGAAGTGGAGCATTCAGCCAAACTAGCATTAGAACTTATTTTTTCTTGCACCACTATTTTTTTTTATGCTTTGAAGTTTTCTTGACAAGGTTTTTCAAAAGTGGTTTGTGATTGCCTACTTTGAAAAGAAGGTGATTGGCCCATAGACATCCAGCTGGCTTCAGAGTTAAGGAGGGACTAGAACTCATAGTTTGATGTTTAACCGTAGCTCTCTTGCACCCATATTACTTGTATTGTGTTTTAGTTACTATAATGAATATAGAAAAAGAGGATTAATGTATGCATAGGTGTATGCATCTTTTTATGGATAAAACATCTGGCATCTGAGTGGCCGCCTTTACCTACAAAAAGGATAGGGGAAAAAAGAGCTAAACCTCAGTTACATTTAATCTGATGACATTTAATCTAATTTTCAAGCATTTCAGTATTTCATCCTTCTCTTTCATCATAAATAGCAAAGTTTTCTGGAGACCACAGGCAAAGTTTTGAGAGTTGAATACAGGCTGTGTATTGAATTGGTACAGCCTGGTTCTCCCCAAATATAACCATGCAGCTTGAAAATTCGAGGCATTGTATCCAAAGCTTCTAGACGGCATCAAATCTTGCTTATTTGTTTAACAAACTTATATGGCTGTCTATCTAAGCAATGGAACAATGAACAGTGGATAAAAATACAATGTATATTAAAATTCAATTCATCAAGGTGTTTGTAAAAAATTTCTTGCTCACATAGCACATGCACAATGCTGGGTCCCACTAATAATCTAGTCCCAATACCGGGGCTGGGGGGTGTGTGCCAAGAGCCGAGGTGGCACAGTGGGTAGAGTGCAGTACTGCAGGCCACTTCAGCTGACTGCTAGTTGAGCAGTTCGGCTGTTCAAATCTCACCGGCCCAAGGTTGACTCAGCCTTCCATCCTTCCGAGGTGGGTAAAATGAGGACCC